TATCATTACTGCTAGATTAATTTGGTCTCTAGTATCTAAGCATCTAATCATGCATCACAATGAAAATCCTATTACTAGACCTCCATACTGTGCTTATTTTCTCAGCCCTTAACCATGGCTAACAGTTGTGATAAATGAGAAATCTGTAATATCACCACTGTTTCACAACTCAATTAAATTACTTGAGTTTATCTGTTTTGGAGGTAAGAAGAATCCCTAGACAATGTTAACAATATGAGTTTGAACTAAGTAAAAGATTTTCATTGAACACTCGGCACTTCTGCATTTCTAACTCCCACCTGTACATGATAACCACAGTGGACTTCTCCTCACTGAACTTATCCAGTCCTGCCTTGAGTTTGTGAAAAATTTTGCACCCCCAACATCCTTTGCTAAGGATCAAGTCAGCTGTGACCCTAGTGGTTTTATTTGAGATGTCTTGCTCTTGTTCTTGGAAGAAGCCGTGAAAAACTGATCTCTACCCACCATCTCCATGTCATTTGTGCTGTTATAGGTCACCACCATATCCTGCTCAACCATCTCTTTTCCCACCTAGACTCCTACCTTACCTAGTCCCATCTCACTTAAAGGGAAGCCCTTCCACATTTTGTCACTCTTGTTGCTCTTCTCTGAAGTCTAGTCCTGTGGTATCCTTTCCGAAATGGTGGGATCTGAACTGCACACAACAGGCAAGTGCCAGCAAGCAAGTGATGTATGCAGTAGCTCAACAGCACTGTCTCTTTTTTTACATCATTTTCCTATTACATCTTAAGGATTTAATTACTTTTCAACTGCTGTTAAGCAATGCGCTGATGTTTTCATGCAACTGTCTATAACAAGCTAAAGATCTCATTCCTTGAAAGGATCTGGTGGTAATGTCTGGCCCAGAGTCCACCATTTCTTATGTGCAGATTTTTCTCCCATGTGCACGTGACTTTTGCTTTTCTTCCTTTTCCCATGAATGGCAAAGTCCTGGTCATTTGTGAACCATCACAGTTTCTACAGATTCACTGGCATGAGAACAAACTGAAGAAAAAAAGGTGGACTAGAGGACTATATCCTCTGTAAGTGAGAAATGTGGAAAGTAGGACACAAACTATTTTGTCAAGATGCAGTTTTGTGGGTTTTTAGAATTTAGTATTAGTCAAAGAACACTCTCAATTGAATTTTCAGCAGGAATTGAGCTTAAAACATTTAGATCTAAATCACATACCTGGTAAACTACCATGCATATGATAGTGCTAGTGACTAAGAGAACTTTAGTGTGCTCCTAAAAACACTTTCCTTTAATTGTCTGTTAAATGACCATGAAGTTTATAGCAGAAGATTCCACTGTCTAATGATGGAAGATGAATAACAGACAAAAACCATTTGTGTTTTTATTATAAATACCATTATTTTCCTGTTTATTTGGTATGTTTCTCCAAAACTGTAGGTGTATTGCCATGTTTTCTGAGGTGCTGGAGACATGCATTCTGGACATGGATCAATGTTTTCATATGCTAAGGACCAAATTCTGCCCAGTGCATGCCCTACTGCTGCCTTCACCTTTGGTCAAAATTTGGCTCTAATGTCTCTTGCTGCTTCAAAACAATTACAGTCAAATCAGACAAACTTTCCAACATTAAATTACAAGTAATTTGTTTTGAGAAATTACATTCTGCATCATTGCTCATACCATCATCTAATAAGATGCCAGGAGAACCCAGATGCTCCTGGTAAGAACCAATGCTGTGCTGAAAACTAAAGGGCTAATAGCCGATAATCCAAGAGTCCCCACCAAACATGCTCCCGACCATTTGAAGTGGAGCATGGCTGGGATGGAAACTTGCTCCATTGTCATGAGCATGGGTGGAGTTGCTACTTTGCTTTGCTGGCGTAAATGAAGTGGGGTAGAGCAACCAACAAAGCCAGGATCTATCCTATGCTAGTTGCTGTGCAGAGCATGGTCAGAGATGGTCCTTGGTCCCCAAAACTTACAGGTTAAGGCTGGAGCAGACGTAGCTTCACATGGATCAAAAGCAGGTTTTATCAGCATGCCACATAGCTCAGAAGGGTATGTGCTGCAGCCAGCAGTGCTTCTGCCTTTAACCACCTTTTCATTTTTCCCTTTGCCCAGTATATCCCACACTCAGTTTAAAGGGAAGGTTATCACAACCCTTACTTAGCAATTCAGGTGTAAAACAAAATGCTCATCTTTAGCCCTTCTCAGACTGCCTCACTCAGAGAAGTGGGGAGCAGGGTCATTTGTCACCTCTATCTGTTGGGAAGCAGACAAAGAGAAAGCAGAAATGAGAAAGGAGTAGGAGGACTCCTGCCCTTACCTTCACATAGGGCAGGCAAAGGAGCTGCCTGGATAGAGAAGAAGGTATCCAAGCTGTCCCATAAGCAGCTGAAACCATTTAGAGCAAAAGAGGAGTGAAAGAAGAATCATGAAAGAAGACACGTGTCACAGTTCATTTTTCTGAATCAGTGTAGCTGTGCTTCCCCTCTAATGCAGGGCAACCTGCAAAACTGCAATATGGTTCTAAAGAGATGAGACAGATAATGAGTGGGAGAACCAAAGTAATATTAACTGTTGAGTGGTCTTTAGTATAATAAATTGTTTTTCCTCAGTAGGTAAAGCCGAGTGATATAATTCGCTGAGTAAAAGGAGGAGACGCTTGGCAGCTTGGCACCAGTACTAATGAAGCCAATAGCCTTCCCTGCTCTCTCCTTTTGGCTGGCTCTCATTTTGGCTGGCTTCCTTGGCATACACATCACTGGCAGTTTTGTAAGAAGTCAGAAGAACCATACGCTAATTTTCACCAAGGAAAACACAATTCGCAACTGCAGCTGCTCAGCAGATATCCGTGATTGTGATTACTGCCTGGCAAACTTGATGTGCAATTGCAAAACCGTGCTGCCTTCTACCATGGAAAAAACTACCTACAATAGCCACCTGACCATTTGGTTCACAGACACCTCCGTGCTGGAGATGCTTCTCAACTTCACAAGGGTGTGGGATCTGAAGCTGTCCTTCTGTGGCACCGCTCCTCTCCCAACAGAATACTTGGCTATTTGGGGACTTCGAAAGCTCCGGGTAAAAAAAGTCAAGGGACGATTTCCAGAGCAGAGTGTAACCATCTACAGCAGCAGCAGCAATGAAAAAGAAAACTCACTTGCGGTGCACAACAAAGACAGGCAAATGCTTGTATATATTTCTTTTCTGGATACCTCGCTTTTCAATGGATATTCTTTGCTGAAGTCGTACAGTGTGGAAGACGTCTCTAGTATCATGGAGCATTTCCCCAGCCTGCTGTACTCCGATGTTTTCTCAACATCAGATAACAAGAGCTATGTTGTAACATTCATTTACTGAGTTATTTAGTAGTAAAGTAGTCAGAGGCACAGCAAACTGCTGAGAGAGAGATAGGACTTCTTTAAGTTTGTTTGGTGTGGCCAGGAGGAGCTGTTATGGGATGGACAGTTCTGACTGTGATAGCACTCTACAAGGAGGGGTTTAAAGTAAGACAGACTCATCAGACTAATTCAGTAAATGCTTTCTTAAAGAACAAAGAAAATGTGAAATGACTGTTTTAGAAAGCATAGGTACAAATTCTTTTTATATATTGTAAGCTAGAGAATTGAGATCTGCAAATAAATTTTGTTTTAAGGTTGTGCCTCAGACAGAAGAAGACATAACCATGTATGTCCAGCTGTAGAAGAACCTGAGCCTCCCAGAGAATCACTCAGGTTAGATGGGAGCTCGGGAAGTCTCCAGTCCAACCCCCTGCCCAAGCAGGGCCACCTCTGGGATCAGACCAGGCCCCTCAGGGTTTTCTGCAGTCAGGTCGCGAAAACCCTCAAGCACAGAGCCTGCACAACCTCATTGGGCAACCTGCTCCACTGCCTGCTTGTCCTCATGGGGAAACTTTTTTCCATGTCTTAACCCCAGTCTTCCCTTCTCCAGGCTGAGCAAGCCCAGTTCCGTCACACTTTTCTCACCCTTACATGCCCCAGCCCCTGACCATCTTGGTGGTTCTCCACTGGACCACTTCAGCTGATCCATATCCTTCTTGCACTGCGGGGGGGCAAAACTGCATGCAGTACTCTGTATGCAGTCTAGTAAGTGCCAGGACAAGGGGAATAATCCCTTCCCTCCATCTACTGGCTGTGCCCCTGTCAGTACAGTCCATTGCTGTCAGGTTCAAGGGGTGCAAGGTGGTTACAGGTTACTCAAACTGGGGGTGCTGAGTTGTCCTTGCTCTTGGCACTTGGTCAGAGCTGGGAACCCTCTGCTTGGGCTGGGTGACACAGCCTCTTACGAAAGCAGGCACAGGCTATGCAGGCAGCCTCCAACCTCAGCGCGCAACTGAAGGTGTGTTTGGGGGATGACCAGGAAGCTGTGTTCTCTGCCAAGCCATGGCACACATCATGGGAAAGTACCGGCCAAGAGGCCACCTGACAAGTGAGACACCACGCTCACAAAGACGTTTTTCCCAGGGAAAGGCCTGTCTCTTGCATGTTGGGCGTGCCAATGCCTGCAATTTCCCCAAATGCCAGGAACTTGACTTCATCTTTTGTGATAATGGCAAGCTCTGCTCATGTTCTCCCCTATGAGAAAGAAGAAAGACCCCATCCAACGACTCTTGTCTCATAAGGGAGGCTAGGCTTCTGGCAGAGATGTAGCAAACAATTTTCAGACACGTTGTGGGAGAAAGATTGTTATCCCCTGGAAAACGTATGTCAGGACTATTTATATAGCCCAGAGTCTGCTCCTTGCCCATGTCTGCAGGATTTGCATGCTATGAGATATGATTCAGCCCAGGATCCATCCACATAGTACAATAAAGGCTTTGGAATAGCAGCTCCTAACAGTCTTGCATTGCCAGCGGAGAATTACATGAAACTGGGATAAAATATGTGTGCTGAGGAGAATGGCTATCAAGATTCTAAGGAACCAATGAATTTACTTCAACAACTTTAAAGAAAGACTTTTTCTGTAACTGTAATCAATGATGGAGCAGTTTTGCTACGAAGCAAAACTTAATTTTTCAGAATACTTAAATCCATACTTCCATTACTGTGAGCTTCCCACTGAAATCAACAATGTGGTAACTATTGAATTAATGGAGTCTATTTGCAATTGCAAATTAACAGATTTAAGCACACAGGTGTTTGAAGGCTGGGGATTGAACTGGATTTAACTCAACCAGAGAACTATTAAATCAGCTGTTGTAAAGACATCGTTTCCTTTGTCAGCACTTTGGCAATAAACCATAAACCTTCTCCCCAAATCACAAATATTTCTAGTGATACCTCTCACGATTGTGTGACAGGTTACAAAATGGTTAGGAGCTGGAGCTGGGCTGAGAGAGATTGGCAGCGGGGTGGGAGGGTGGGGGAATGTTCTGAGCACATTACATGCCTGGAATGTATTACAGACACAGGCAAATAATTCATATTGTCTGCCCAGGAATCCCACGCTCCAACTGTCTGTGCAAAAGTACTAACCTTGCCTTCACAAACTGGCTAATCACTTATCCTGCACAGGATAGTGTTGTTAAAAAAAAAAAAAAAAAAGAGCTGGCACACACAAATATATTGACTTCTAAATGTTACCAACCGTCTTTAAAATCTGGGAAAATCAAACCCAAATGATCTTCAGCAAATTCACTGAGGCTCTGCTGCCCTCTAGTAAAAAATGTGCTAAATAACAGAGTACTTCCACATTGCCATGACAGCAGTGGTTGGCTGCTGTTACTGTTCAAAATTCACACCTGCAGCAGTAACTGAGAATGTATGTATTCTGGCCTTGTTGGGAAGAGCCATGAGATTAATAAATCCATGGGCTTTCTAACACTGCAAGTTACAGTTCCAATTACTTTTGCCACTGTAGTGTTCTTAATAAGGCTGACGTAAAAGACCTTTTATTTCTGTGCCGAAGTAAGCACTGCAGAGATTTTCCTGGAATCAGGAAAAAAAACCTCAATTACACGCGCAGCAGAAATCCACAGCACCAATATTGCAGTGATCTTTTCAACTCCCCTGCTCTTCTCCAGCAGATACCAAAAACCTGATCTTCCCAATTTCAGTTTTATATGTCTTTGCCATATAAAAGTACTGCATTAGAAGCTTGCAGAATTTTTTCAGAGCAATGCATAAAAAACATATACCACATATGCTGTGAGTTTTATTAATCCTGTTGGTGGAGGTTTCTTTTATCTGCATGTAAACTACACACAGCAGTACATTAAGCATCACTCTGCAGAAATAATTATGTGATTTTTGTGAATCTGTTTTAAATCCTAGCGCAAGACTCACACTTAGCCACACTCAACACCCTATGTTGTGTGATCATATATTTATAGCAATTAATATTTGTATACACAATGGTTTAATTCTCCATGTATCAGGTTCAACCTGTATTTGCCAGTCTTCAACCCTGATGTGTGATTGTTGGATATGCCAATCAAAGGAAATTGAGGCAAAAAAATGGAGATAGGAGCTGTAAATTTACAGTTTTCCTTCCTATTAGTAATTCTGGTGCGACTTTGGGAAGTCAATACAGATCGAGAACAGCACGAAAGTAACGCAGCGCTTTCTATGGGAGATCTTGCTGTGCAGTGGCAGCGAGAGGCTGCAGGAGGCCAGCCAGGCCCCTGCATCTCCTCCTGGGCAGACTCCCAAGGTGGCTGGCAAAGACGGGCTGCAGGGGAGTCTGGCCTTCCTGGTATGGTGGGAAGGCTGAAAAGAGGTCCCTCCAGAGCCCAACACTCATGCTTGGAGAGACTGTCTTTAAAAAGGCCTGCGATCTTTTAGCAGATGCCACCAAACTCGTGGTTTTTCTTCTAGTCAATGCAGCAGCCACCAAGGCCGGCCCAACTGACTTCTGGGGATCCCCCCAGGCTAGATGAAACCGAACCCCAAAGGGCCCTGCACATGAAAGACGCTACGATGGAGCACTAGCGAAGAGGGCCACCACGTCACCTGCCCCCTCCAAGCCAGAGGCCCAGATTCCCTCAGGGAGGGCAGGGGCTTTCCGGCAGAGGCCGCGCAGAGTCGGGCAGCCAGACGAGCACGCTGGCCGCCGAGGGGATGACGGGCGCCGGGCAGGTGTTTGCACCCTCTCCGGACGCCTGCTGCCGCCGTCCCCAAGCTGGCTGTGGAGAACAAGCCCACCGGGCGGGGATGGGAGGGGCCGAGGCCAGGCGCCCCCCC